CAATACTAAAAATGTTTTTATTCGTAAGAACATGAATGAAGCCATACCGTTACCTTCACTTATAACACAGGGTATCAGTATACCCGGGATTCAGTACCCTTGTAAACTCCCAAGCGAATAGCGAACATCTAATTACAGATGATCGAGCAGCAGACAAGAAACGCGAGTTAAAGATTAAAAACTAGCAAAAAAGATGTGATACTTTCCAGCATTTTTTCCCCAAAAAATGAAGGGGAAAACCAAGCGACCAGAAATCGAGATTATTTGGCGCGCTAATCCAAAGATAATAGAGCTTCAGTCATAGCAGCCAAAAATGTTGCCAAACGCACTGGCCGCTTAACGAAGGTGCGCCATGATGAAGCCGCAACTCATGGAGATGAAGTGTGTATTTTAAAGGGATCCACCTTTATTCTGTTTGGTGCCACATTCTGAAAGTCTTCGTCCGTAAAGATCGATTCACTTTTTGATTTCTTGCGCTTCCTGCCCGGATCACGCACTCCATCTGAAAATTGCATACAGTTACACAAGAACTCGACCGATCAGTAAACAATCTTGCCCACGCTCATGCTGTCCATGAAATTTTCAGATAATCGATTACGAATGAAAATTTTGGTGTTTTGTAACTCGAGAACTAGATATGATGGCGAGGAATTTGTGCTACTCTTAGGAATTCACACTAACAGCAACCAGACTGATGTCGGAGCTCCTCCAAAATATCCATTCGTTGGCAATAGCGCTTATTCATCAAATCCAGTACTTTGCCGGTTTTAACTGCATCTAGCCTACATCCATTTTCATACAGTGCATATTTGAGATTGCGTTTCAACATATTCACTTTCTGTTTCTTCCGGCTTCTTTCCAGTAAGGAAATATTCTGAAAGATTCGTATAATTTTGACAGTTTCAGATTTTTAAATTTTGAAGAGAAAGCCGAAAGCGCCCATAAGATGTCTGGTGTGTGGTCAAATTTCTTTTCAAGAAAACCAACCTCACTGTAATGCGGGAAACAACTTTTGCAGAGGCCAAACACACCATAGTTGTGGTTAACAAGCAAGGAAAGAAACTATGTCGCACTTTTCTTCGTGCTAAGCTTGAACAGAAAATCCGAGTGTCAGTGCCTGAGGGCCAAATGAGGCTCGAAAGCTTATGCTAGAAGTGAGGACGGAGAGTGTGAAAAACATCCCAGGGCAACAAGAACTGGCACTCTTACCTCTTGCTAACATAACTGATTCCATCCCAGGTAATTCCGGATACTAAACTTTAACAAATGCACAGCAATGGAAAGGAATGGTCGGTGAATCACCTTTTTAAAGCGTTTACAGTTTTTACTGCTTTTTTCGCTTTTTCGGACACCAGATGCTGGAATGATAACATCCGCTTCCGGGTCATACTCAACGGAAGTTCCCGCTGCTACGACTTGTTGAAGTTCTCGTTCTGACTGTGCCAGCTTTCCGAGCTTCTTTCGTCGAATCTTCTCCGTCTTTAGGCGATCATCTACAAATTAAAATTCTCAAAACAATAAATTACCGGAGAAAATTGTTCTCCTCTACATGAGTTTACTATGAGGAGCAATACATATCGTCAGTTCCCTAGTTATCACTGCGCGAGGGCAATTAATTTTCAGGATGAAACCTTCGTGAAAACCAAAAAGGCCAATCAACTGCTCCTTGTTCCAGTTCTATAGCCCCAAGCTGCGCTACAAGAATGCAACACGGAGGAGCCAATCCATACATCGACATTGGCGGATCGAAGGGTTTTTCGTCCTTCTCCCCTCAGCGGCTTAGGTAGCAACTGCTTTACTGCAGAAAACTCTGTTCGATATCCCGTGTTGCCTTCCCCCTTCCTCTCGCCCCCCCCCCCTTCCAGGAAACCACACTGGATCCGTCTACGCACATCGAAAATAAACTGCTCGAACTGTGCTTCTTTCTAAGTGATCAAAACCTGAGCTAGTTTTTTCTTATCGCATCGTCAACGGTCTCCTGTTAAAAAAAAAAAAGTTTACTTCCTCTCTATTCCTCCTTTTTTCCTCCACAGTCCAAAGGCAAGCAGTCCTGGACATAAGGCATACGAAGAGGGGTGCTACAAAACTTTGTGCTGGCATAAGCCCTTTTAAAACCTTTTTTTTTTAATAAAGAAATGAAAAAGACAAACCGGAATCAGCCAAGCTGATGGCCTCCTTTAGAAGATTCATTGACACTCCAGCGCAGCTGGTCACTCTCAAGATGAAGCTTAACAACCGGAACTGATTGGTATCAGCCCAGCGTCTCCAGCTCAAATACTGGACAAATCCAATCTGCTCTGTAAATAAATTGATATTAAAAGTGGACATAATCGAATGACCGAAAAATAAACGAATGATTTACACACGCAAACACACACACATACACGCACACAGACACCTAACTCAACAGCAGACATAGTTGAGTGACTCCAGTCGCACCGAAGAAGCACCCCTCAGAAAAACACGAGGCCGAAACAGCACGAAGCAAAATAAATGGCAACGCGCACCAGACTAGCCGGTGCGATTATGCGTTTTGTGCAATTCAGCCCATC